GGGCTATCACTATAAAAATTATTGAAACCAGAGAACTTAAATATCACAAAAGTTTATAAATGTATAGCGAGAATTCTAGAATTTTCAGGAGATGGAAACAACACAGCGATACAGATTCCTGCCTAAATTGGATTAATAAAAATTTCTTCCATTTCATCTTGTTCCAAACTTCCTTTTTTACACGCCTTTAGAGGCAATTATTTTCTATAAATGTTCAAGAAAGGTTGGCGTGGGCCAAAATTTTAAAGCGTTAAATAATTTTAAATATCACACGAAGAATTCTGTAATGTTTCGAATATAATCAAAGAGAAATAAATGTAACTGTCGCAACCGATGGGATTTGGAGATGTAGCATCACAAATTACCTTAACTGATGCTATCTTTGGGCCCGCAAATCACAGCGAAGAAGGCAAGTAAATAACGACAATTTTACGAAAGGAACGGTGCGTTAACACTACAGGAAAATCGATTAATAGAAAAGCTAGAAATACGGCTATGAAAAAAGATCCGAATGCCAATCAGGTGAGCTGAGACTTTCTTATGCGACTGAAACGTAATTAAAAAACAACGAACAAAACTCTTTCACAGGCATTCATGGATTCCATATTCCGAATTTTCCAGTTTTCGAAATTTTTGAGTTAATTCCTACACTCCCGTATGCAGAGTAACGATGCAAGAAATAATACTTGGAAATAAACAAAAACGGCTGTCGTTGCCAATGGACAAAGCTTGAAATCGTAAAATCTACGGAGCGACACGTCAAGCCCTGTTTTTTTTGCGACCCCCACGGGCCCTTTGGTGAGGTCGTAACAGGGGGAAAGGAGGCAGTGAAAAGGGAAATGGTTTCGCGACTGGCAGTAGATGCTGGGAGGGGGGAGAGGGAATGAAGGAGGGAGGAGGGGTAGGAGAGCAGACAGCGGGTAGGCGGAGCGGAAGCGAGTAGAGTGATGGCAGCTTAAGGGAGGCTCAGGGCGGAAAAGGGTTGGAGCGAGGGTAGGATTGAAACGGAACCGGAAGAGGCGAAGGAGGGCGGGCGAGGCGGTGGCGGCCGGCTGGGGGTGGGGTGGCGCGGGGCGTGACGTGAGGCTCGAAAGGTGGTGGGAGGGTGTGGCCTAGAAAGTGGTGGTGGAATAGGGGAGAGGGCGGGAAGGGATTTTGAGCGTGGCGTGGTGAGAGTCTGGTGGCGAGGGACTGGAGAAGGGTGTTTAAGGGCTGGGAGGACGGCGGGACATAACGCGAGTAGTAGCCCTGCGGACAAGCACGAAAGGGGGTGCGGGCGGGGCGTGACGCGGGTATGCGAGTGGGGGTGTAGGAGACGGGTGCGAAGTGGGTGTGACACGATTGTGAACGTGAGTGCAGGACAGAGGGGAGGGCGGGGCGGGGGGAATGCGGGTTGTGGTTTGAGAAGCGAGTAGAGGAACGGAGTGGGGTGGGGCCGGGACGTTGTGGCGGGGGAGGAGTGGGCAGAGGGGCGGGGCAAGGCGAAGAGCGTTGTGGCGTGAGAGGAGCGGGCAGAGGGGGAGGGGCGAAGAGGGTTGTGGTTGTTGGAGTGGCAGGGGAGGAGAAAGCGGGGCCGAGGCGAAGAGCGTTGTTTGGCGTGACGAGGAGAGCGGGCAGAGGGGGAGGGGCGAAGAGGGTTGTGGGTGTTGGAGTGGCAGGGAGGAGAAGCGGGGCGAGGCGAAGAAGGTTTGTGGCGTGAGAGGAGCGGGCAGCAAGGGGGAGGGGCGAAGCGGGTTGTGGTGTTGTGAGTGGCAGGGCAGGAGTAAGCGGGGCGGAGGCGAAGAGCGTTGTGGCGTGAGAGGAGCGGGCAGAGGGGGCGGGGCCGAAGAGGGGCTGTGGCGTATAGGCGCAAGCAGAGGGGACGGGGTGAAGAGGGTTGGGCGTGGGTGGAGCGGGCGAGGCGAAAGAGCGTTGTGGCGTGAGAGGGGCGGGCAGTGGGGCGGGGGCGAAGAGGTTTGTGTGTGTGGAGTGGGCGGCGGGCAGGAGAAGCGGGGCTAGGCGTAAGAGGGTTGTGGTGTGAAGAGGAGCGAGCAGAGGGGCGGGGCGAGGCGATGTAGGGTTGCTGTGTGGGAGGAGCGGGCAGAGGGGGCAGGGTAGGGCAAGAGGGTTGGTGGCGTGAGAGCAGGAGCAGAGGGGCGGGCGGGCGATGAGGGTTGCGGTGTGGGAGGAGCCGGAGCAGCAGGGGGCGGGCGAAGAGGGTTGTGGTGTGAGAGGAGGCGAGCAGAGCGGGCGGGGCGAAGAGGGTTGTGGGCGTGGGAGGAGCGGGGAGGCGATCGAGGGTTGTGGGCGTGAGAGGGGCGGGCAGTGGGGGCGGGGCGAAGAGGGTTGTGTTGTGGGAGTGGCGGGGCAGGAGAAGCGGGGCTAGGGCGAAGAGGGTTGTGGTGTGAGAGGAGCGAGCAGAGGGGCGGGGCGAGGCGATGAGGGTTGGCTGTGGGGAGGAGCGCGGGCAGAGGGGGCAGGGGTAGGGCAAGGGGTTGGTGGCGTGAGAGGAGCGAGCCAGAGGGGCGGGGCGAGGCCGATGAGGGTTGCGGTGTGGGAGGAGCGGGGCAGAGGGGCAGGGCGAAAGAGGATTTGGGGTGAGAGGAGCGAGCAAGAGGGGCGGGGCGAAGAGGGTTGTGGCGTGGGCAGGAGCGGGCGAGGCCGATGAGGGTTTGTGGCTGGAGAGGGGCGGGCAGTGGGGGCGTGGCGAAGAGGGTTGGTGTTTGTGGGAGTGGCGGGGCAAGGAGAAGCGGGGGCTTAACGGCGAAGAGGGTGTGGCGTGAGAGGAGCGAGCCAGAGGGGCGGGGCGAAGAGGGTTGTGGGCGTGGGAGGAGCGGGCGAGTGCGATGAAGGGTTTTGTGGCGTGAGAGGAGCCGGGCAGAGGGGTGCGGGGCGAAGAGGGCTGTGGCGTATGAGGAGGAAGCAGAGGGGACGGGGCGCAAGAGGGTTGTGGCGTGGTGGCAGCGGGCGAGGCGAAGAGCGTTGGTGGCGTGAAGGGGCGCGGCAGTGGCGGGCGGGCGCGATGAGGGTTGTGTTGTGGGAGTGCGTGGGGCAGGAGAAGCGGGGGCTAGTGCGAAGAGGGTTGTGGTGTGAGAAGGAGCGAGCAGAGGGGCGGGGCGAGGCGATTGAGGGTTGCGGTGTGGGAGGAGCGGGCGAAGGGGGCAGGGTAGGGCAAGAGGGTTTGGCGGGAGAGGAAGGACAGAGGGGCGGGGGAGGCGATGAGGGTTGGGTGTGGAGGAGCGGGGCAGAGGGGGCAGGTAGGGGCAAAGGGGTTGTGGCGGGAGAGCGAGCGAGCAGCAGGGGGCGGGGCGAAGCAGGGTTGTGGCGCTGGGAGGAGCGGGCCGAGGCGATGAGGGTTGTGGCGTGAGCAGGAGCGGGCAGAGGGGGCCGGGCGCGAAGAGGGCTGTGGGCGTATGAGGAGCAAGCAGAGGTGGCACGGGCGTGAAAGAGGGTTGTTGGCGTGGGTGAGCGGGCGAGCGAAGAGCGTTGTGGGTGAGAGGGGCGGGCGAGGGGCGGGGCGAAGAGGTTGTGTTGTGGGAGTGGCGGGGCAGGAGAAGCGGGGCTAGGCGAAGAGGGTTGTGGTGTGAGAGAGCGAGCAGAGGGGCGGGGGGCGAGGCGATGAGGGTTGCTGTGTGGGGAGGAGCGGGCAGAGGGGGGCAGGGTAGGGCAAAGAGGGTTGTGGCGTGAGAGGGGCGAGCAGAGGGGCGGCGGGCGAGGCGATGAGGGTATGCGGTGTGGGGGAGCGGGCAGACGGGGGCAGGGTAGGGCAAAGAAGGGTTGTGGCGTGAGAGGAGCGAGCAGAGGGGCGGGGCGAGGCGATGAGGGTTTGTGGGCGTGAGAGGGGGGCGGGCAGTGGGGGCGGGGCGAAAGAGGGTTGTGTTGTGGGTGGCGGGGCAGGAGAAGCGGGGCTAGGCGAAGAGGGTTGTTGGCGTGAGAGGCAAGGCGAGCAGAGGGGCGGGGCGAGGCGATGAGGGTTGCGGTGTGGGAGGAGCTGGCAGAGGGGGCAAGGGTAGGGCAAAGAGGGTTGTGGCGTGAGAGGAGCGAGCAGAGGGGCGGGGCGAGGCGATGAGGGTTGTGGCGGGGAGAAGCGGGCAGAGAGGGCGGGGCGAAGAGGGCTGTGGCGTGGAAGTGACGGGGCAGAGGGAGCGGGGCGCCTCCAGCATTCTGATACTCGCTTATAACACAGTACCTATCATACCACTTCACCAAATTGTACTAGATCTCCCCTTCACCTAGTTCTTAACCAACACTAACGTAGCTTTGGCTGATGTCAGATTTATTCAGCTAAATTTGTAGTGTGCTTCACTGGTGTTCCTCCACAGTATTTTACGCAGCCATCTTATAAAATGTGAACATTAACAGACTAATTTGAGATTTAACTAACCTGAGATTTGTACAGAATTACCGCCTTTGCGATCTCGACTATCCGGATCAGCTAATTACTTGTAGTTTTTTGTTAGAATTATTTTTAACAGTTGTATTTGATGACTGATCTCAATTATTTATTTATAATTGCATCAACTACATAGTTTATTACCGACTTGGATAAACATATATATATATATATATATATATATATTATATATATTATATATATATGCAATTTAACAATTAGATAAAATGGAATTACATTGTGAAAAGCCGGAAATTATGCCATGAAATAAATTAAATTGTTCAAGGATGTTGCTTCATTGAAATGCATTACCAATAACAATAGTTAGAAGTATCTTTGTGCTCTTTGACAGAAGTTTGAATGATTAATATATATCATTAATAATATCACAATTTACACAAATTCTGAATAATTGGATTGTCCATTTCATCCTTCATCATCATTTTCCTTTTACCTCATCCCAAAGGGCTAACAACCCTGGGTGTTAAAAATATTCAGCACGGAAATGCTGAACCCCCTCCCAGGCACGTTCAACTACTCTCGATAAATATGACTGAGCCCCGATAGGTTGCGCATTTGCGTGATCCCGAGATAGACAAATCGCGACCCCTAAAAAGTTATGTTTCAGAAAATGCTACACGGCAGTGCTTCTTAAATGGCACTTGGAACAATCAGACGAATTACGAAGCGTGCAAAGAAGTGTGGCCCGACTCTGGCGAGAGCCTCAGCTTCCCATCCGGAATAAAACCTGGTGAAATATCTGGTAAAGAAACTTTAGTCTTTCTTCCTCAGTCTTTTTTTTCCTCCCATCACTAACACATCCATAATAACATCATTTATGTTTCAGAAAACGTTTCTCGTGTGTGTTTTATCAATGGCACTTGGAGTAATAGTACCAATTCCGAGTGTCCAGAACTGGTTCGAGACTTTGTCGAGGGTATAATCTTCCACTCTGGCTTCTGCTTATCAGTAGCTGCCCTTGTCATCTCTGTCTTCATCTTTCACTATTTTAAGTAAGTTTTCTAATATTCCCCGATATTATTTCGTTATTTGGCATTCCTGTTCATGATTTCTTTCCTTTCCTGAATTACTTTACATGTATCTCCGTTTCTTTTCTTTAAAAATTCGTTGACACTCGCCGATCAACCACGCATATTCCAAGACCTTAGTTCTTGTCAGTATTATTGCATATGGTGCTAACGATATTATTGTTAGATTATGAGGAATTTCCTTAGTTCGTTACGGAATAAAACATACGTTATTAAACATTTGCACGTAACTATGTTTTAGTTTAATAGTTAATGCTAACGATATTATTGTAGATTATGAGGATTTCCTTAGTTCGTTACGGAATAAAACATACGTTACTTAAACATTTGCACGTAACTATGTTTTAGTTAATAGTTAATGCTAACGATATTATTGTTAGATTATGAGGAATTCCTTAGTTCGTTACGGAATAAAACATACGTTACTTACAACATTTGTACGTAACTATGTTTAGTTAATAGTTAATGCTAAGATATTATTGTTAGATTATGAGGAATTTCCTTAGTTCGTTACGGATAAAAATACGTACTTACAACATTTGCACGTAACTATGTTTTAGTTAATGACTTTAATTGATGTAGTGCAAACATTAATAAACATCCATCAAATCATTTTCATGGAATTAAGAACTATATCTTTCGGTCACAAATTTGTCAACGTAAACTAACACAGTGGCCTGAATTGATTTTGTACAATAATGATGTAAAGGGATTGAACGTTACATAAAATTCATACTTATAATATTTGTGGAAATATCGAGGTTTTGATGTATGGAAATGCCCAAAGTATTTGTAAAATTTCAAAACGGATTTGTAGGTAATGTCATTATTATTTATGTTTTTTTTAAGAAGCGAGAACCAAAATTCGCTCAGAAAGTGTGTACTCTAGAGAGAGAATTCGGCTTGAAATCGATGAGACGCGAGTTCAGTGGTGTAACGTGGATTCTGGCTTGCGCGTCTGACATTTTTACTCAAATTTGCGGAGGCAGATCCCATTGAAGCCGTGGATTTTTAAGAGCAAAAATATTAAATATCCTTCGTAAGGGTTTTCTTGTGAGAGGAAGTAAACCTGTCTGTCCCATGTTTAAAATTTACTGCATGAAAAAATCTTCAAGCCTAAAAGATACCTTTGAGCAAAATTCTAATGGCCTATGTTGTCGCCCCCACTTCTTTCGCAACTAGTTGGCTAAAGGAACGTAGGGCAACTTTCATGGTGAGACGGAAGACCGGGCCTAATGGCCTACAATACTCACGTAAAATAAGGTATCATTGAATTGAATCAGAGGCTACCAGATATTTATTGAAAAAATCACTGCCCTTGTATTTCCAAAACACAGATGAAGATACTCTTTAACGTTATCCTGATACGTCAGTCGTTGAATAGTGTCTGTGTATCTGAATTCCAAATATATGATGAGGGCACGGACTCATTATTTATTTGTTACAGCATGCAAAAAGTGAAAACTGGAAACGATTAAAAGTTAAATGTTTATAAAATGCTGAATGTTTCTGAAATGACGTAAAATATTTTTGTGATTAACAACGATACACCCAGTCGTGCACGCAGATACTCTCAATATATCAGCAGCATATGTTAGTAATGTTCATGTTTCTTTCTACAATTTCACTTATTAATTTCGTTGTGCGTGCTGCAGATCTGTTAGATCATGGCTTGAGTAACAGTGATATGATACGGTTTCTCTTCTAGTACTCGTAAGCTTCAAGTTCTCTCTAGTACTCGTATGCCTCAAGTTCATCACTTCTTGGCTGTCCGAGTGACGCCTCGTCACGCCGCGTCGTTGGCTGAGAGGATCTGTCTCATAGCAAATTTCATTTCCGTTTCTCTCTCTACATCCCCCTCTTTCCCTTGTCTATCACATTGCGCAGCATTATTTATATTGTACTCCAGATCTATCTAGCATCTCATCATTTCTTGTTACTGCACTCACTCTAAAATGTTTTATGAAATGAGCTTAACAATATCAGCCGAATAATGCTTTGAAATTTTTTAAAATTTATATTACTGACCCCTAATTTATTTTCAGAGAGTTGAAGTGTCTTCGCAACACGATTCACACTAATTTGATGTGGACATTCATTTTCTTTGAAATTATTTGGATCGTCATGTACTTTGATCTGGTAAGTTATGCCCAAGAGTTCAAATAATGTGCACAATTTAGCATTCAAGCGCGGGCATTACCGCAACTTCCTAGAACTAAGGGAAATGGAATGACCTATGTCTGAAGAAAGAACGTTTGAGGAAAGGATGGATGGTATTAAATATCCTATAAGTCGATAATCATTTTTACATTCAGTAAACTGAGACCAATTCTAAATTGTTTAATATTGCACCGAACATGAAAGCACGCCTTTAAAATTAGAAATGAAGCATTTCGCTTCGAGAAACATTAAATGTAAGTCCTACAATTAATAGTGATTAAATACCTTACCAGGCCCGGCAATTTGAATTCTAAAAAACCGAGATTTTTCTTTGGTTCATCTCGAGGTGATTATTTTGCCAATTAGTAGCAGGGCCAAAAAAAAGTTAAATTGAACCTTACCACTGAAATCGAAATTGACTTGCTTCACGTAAAAAACATCTTCCTCATTCGCCTTTAGCTGAAGAAGTCTCTCTTAACATTTATAACTTACAGATTTTAAGTATATTTTAATAATAATTCATTTTACATTCATAAATTATATGTACATTTTATACTCGTAAGAAAGCATACTTTTGCATACTGGGAAAAAATCTCTATTGAAATTTTGACAGAAATGTACTGCATGGTAAAACAATTTTTTTTCGTCCACATGTCTGTTGTTTTTGTTAATTGGCAGGTCGGACCATTAATGTGTGTATTATTTGTTGTTTTTTTGGAATATTCTACAATAAAAAGTTATTTTTAAATTTCTAAATAAACTTATTTCTATTTACAGGAAGTTACTAGTAATTACGTTGTATGTGCCTTCGTCGCGTCACTATTCCATTACTTTTATCTTACAAACTTTTTGTGGATGTTTGTGGAGGGTGAGTAAAATGTATTATTATGATATTTGGTTTAAAAGCCATAATTAAAGTTACAATAGTTTTTACTTTGTAAAGGGTCATGTAAAATGTTATTTTAGTACTTGAATGGACCTTGCAAATTAAAATTATTAATGCATTTCTCTTTACAGGATTCTACCTATTTTTACTAGTGGTAGTCACATTTACTACCGAGAAATTAAAACTTCGAGTATACGTACTCATAGGCTGGGGTGAGTTCCCTTTTATTACTACATAGCAAAATAGTACGTGGGTATATACATGCTTTGAGTTAACATAAAAAGAAATTAAAACAACGTATTGAATCATATCGTGTGTATTCCACATTGCTGTACATTCGAACACATAAATGCCCTTAGGAATAAGTAATATTCTGGCAGTGCGACTTATAGCATCTTCTTACCATGGCCGTGAGCGTTTTTTTGTGTACATTTTGTAAGTTAATTGATGGCATCAGTGTTATTGAAATATTATTAGGTCTCTGAATTATATGCGCAGCTTCTACTAGCAAGAAGGGAAATTTGCATAAGATAGTGTTGTGGGTCTCTCTGAAGCTAGTCATCGGAGAGTCATGAAAAACCTAGACTAAGTACAGTGCGAGAACATTGCAGGACCTTCCGTTAAGCTTGGACTGCGTCAACATAGATTTAGATGCATTCGACGCTACGAGTCGTTATATCCCCCATGAAACATTTTGGCCCTTCACGCATCATCACCCGCTCACAACGGGACGAAATACAATCTTCATCCGGATCAACTCCCTTTAAAACCGTGAAACTTGCAACTCTCTTGAAAGACTGTGCAAAAAATATCGATCATCGCAAATGTTCTTGGCGTTTTGAGCAACTGAAAAATCAATGAAATCTTCCAAAATTGGTACGCACATATCAAAATTCTCGTCATTTAGTCTACTTTCTCTGGGTGTTTTTTCTACGTTTGTGCATCCCGTAATATATACTATGCCTTAATGTATTATTAGTACGGTAGTTAATTTTAAAATGTTAAAAGAATCAGAGGTAAATAAAAACAAATGTTTAGCAGTATATCTGTGTGCATTAATCTGCACTATTCTGTTTCACTACTAGGTTTTTTAGCGAGAAGCAAGTTGAAATATGAACCAAATATTTGGCTTCCATCTCATAACTCCTTAATATTAATTAAAACATTTCAGAATAATTGTTTTTGATTTTTAGCTTACAAATTAAAAACTCCATGTTTTAAAATATGATTGAATTTTAATTACAAAGTAATTTTACTGAAATTAAAAATTAATACGAGCAATAATGTACATTGTAATAACGGCTGGCGTGCATTTTGAATCGAAATTTGAATTTCTCGGAATTTAATTCCATCAATTTTCACGAACCAGGACGAACGGAAAAGAGCTTCTGTATTATTTGCTGCGCTTCTTTTTCACATGAGTTTAACTTATAACTCCTTTGTTAATAGATTACGTGATTTATTAATGCTATGTATAGATTTAAAGGCATTACTTGTATATGAACGCTTTTTGCAATAAAATTAAGTATCAATTACCAAAGATATTTAAGTTACGACATCATTATGACAATTTAAATTAGTAATAATTATGTATTTGGATGTAATTTGTAATTAAAGGTATTGTTATTCTTATACATGATTGATTGTACCATTTCTGTAGTTATGAAATAATGGTTCAAATATGCGTCATACTAATGTGCAAAAAATAATAATGAACAACTTTTAATAGGGTTATTTTTTTAACCGAGAGAGAAGGCTCAGGTCATCAACTTATGTCACTGCTATCCCTCTGACCAGGAAGTCCTAGGTTCGAGGATGCCTGAGGATTGCAGGATTTTCGACACTAGTTTATCAGCTAGGTGGAATTCAGTCCCTGTCTAGAACAGAATTGTAGCGACCGGCTGCTCTGATCGGTAGTTTTCCATGGTTTCACCAATCAACACCAGGCGAATGCCGGATCTGTGCCCTAACAAACAAACCACGAACAGGGCGCCATCTTTCCTTCCTCTTCCTTGACCTATCGTCATCCCTTACTTACACTTACACTAAGATGCATTACACTATTACACATGCCGCTCTAGAACCGAGAGCTTCAAGTTTGTCCCGGCTGGAGCGGTACCCTGCTGGTGGGAGATACCAGCTTAGGGAAAACTCCATTAGCCGACGGGGTTCGGCGCAGGATCTCGCTATACAGCAGGGAAAGACCCCCGCTAGCTACCAACCGACCAAAACATGCATTAAATTTACGGGACTAATTACCTTATTAGTTGACTCGCTCGGAATCACTATCAATGTTTTTTTTTAATTTCATGTGCTAATACTGATTATCCAAGTGCGTGAGGTTTGCCTCCAGGAATTCATTTTCTAAAAGGTGTGTGATAACTACTTACTAAAATACATAATTAATTCAATCATTAGTTCTTACATCGATTTCTTAAATTTTTTACTCACAGAATTAAAAGTGAAACCACAATGCACTTAAAAACAGCTATTCCCAAGAAAATATCAAAAGAGTTCAAAGAATTTAACACATGTTCATATTTTAACAGTGAATTTTTTTGCTATTTTATGATTAACTACAAATTTAATTTACAAGATTTAATTAGTCCAGTAACACTGTAATATATTATATCTCATGTTAAATTGTTTCTAATCTTACTGAAAAAAATTGTTCATTTATTATTTTCAGGAATACCAGTTTTTATCGTGATTTTGTGGGCGCTTGTAAAGTACTTTTGTGAAGCTGAAGTTTTTAGTGAACACCTAAACGTAAGTATTTTACTATTCTGCATACTTTTCTAAACACATTTGTAGCGAAGTGTCAATGAACGCGTTGGCTCTTGTCTTTTGCCTTCTGCGATGATTCAGTGTCTAATACGTGATACTTGTACTTTCAAGATTAATTGTCATCCACAGTAGTTTTTATTCATTAGATCATTATTATTCAACAAATCAGACATCGCAGAATCTCAGAATTATATAGTCTCGTACATAGAAATCCGTTTTACAACCGTGTGCTCTTAACTTACGTACATTCTTTTCAAAGGCCTAAATATTGAGAGATAGTTGTTCATTGAGTAACGGTTGAATCATCAATTTGCTCTAAGACTACAATGTTCTACACTTCGCGTAAAACAACTTAATCTACTTTATACAACGACAAAATGGGAAGTTTTAAAGTCAGTGATATCGGTCAAAAACTGACTGCGCACTGTCCAAAACTTTTCTCCCTGGGGGTTTGGTCCTTTAGAAATTCATTTGTATTCTTCATATACCAAAGTACCACTAAGTAATCAAGTAAGACAATCTTTCCCTATAACCTAATAGCACAGACGTTCCTAACATAAAAGACGTAAAATGAAAGACACGGTGAGTTTGCTGAAGAAATATTGGGAAGTGAAATTTGAACAGATGTTTTGTAGATTCTGTCGGAGTGTTCGCGATAACGTTTAAGTGTTAATTGGTAATGAAAGTACACAGACTCAATATGGTGTAAGAACTATTTATTACGGCTCAAATGTGTAAAATATCAATGTTATTTTGTCAAATGTACGCAATACTAATAAATACTTTCTTTTTCATTTAGACTCCAGAGGTACAAATGCCCTTAGAAGGACGTTTGTGAAATTTTCGAGTGTGATCGCACCTTAAGCCTCTTGAAGTCGTGCTAATACAGGGTTTTATTGCGACCAGATTCCATCCATTCACAAATTCGCGTGTTCAGTGAAGTGTATCAGTTCAAAGTGAATTTTTTCTTAGGGCAACATCGGGTGCGATAGCTCAGTGGAAACATCGTCAGACACAGAAAAAGCCAGACAGACATAGACAGGCAGACAGACAGACACAGACAGACACAGACAGACAGACACAGACAGACACAGACAGACACAGACAGACACAGACAGACACAGACAGACACAGACGGACAGACAGACAGGAGTTTGTCGTCATTCTATTTGTCGGTATCAAGGATCTACAAAACATGGAACTCTGGCAACATCACGTGTTAGATGATATTTTCTAAATATGGCGACTGAATTTATCAACTTTTTCGTTATTAGGACCATCCTGTAATAAGAGTATTTCAGCTAAAAACACTCCGTTATTTCGCACAGCCAAACATAACTTTGTAATACGTAAGCGCGAAAGTAAAAATCAACTTTTAACTCTGTACGTATACGTATACGATTCTACCTTCCGTGTGGGCAAAACGGTTCAAACTACGATTAAATTTCATAGGAAGTAGAAATTAAAACTATCTTAACCGATAATAAACAAACAATTTGTGACGATCTTTTTTGCAGGATGAACAACAACTTGCGAGACATTGTCCATGGATAGGACCCAGTGATTACGACTGGATTATTCACGCACCGATTATAATAGTGCTCATAACGAACCTCATGTTTTTGATATTTATCATGTCGGTAAGTATACTATATAACCACTTCAGTGCTGCTCCCTGCCACGCAATTCAAATATTCTACGCTACAGGGACTTACGCGAAGCGAGTTCACTCTTCCCCTAGGTGTCGAGATTTCCTTATCTCAACCTCTCAAGCTTATCTACAATGCGTGTCTCACTGCAGCGCAAATTAATTGATTTGAAAAAAGTTAAGCAGCAAAGATAATTTGTGTTTTTCAAAAACGAATAACCTCTAAGGGAAATCATTTGCATCAAACTACCAGAAATAATTAGAGGTGGTCATTACATTATTATGTATAAATACCTGTATTTTGTGCTATGTAGGTACGAAACTTTTGTTTCGTACGAAAAAATTAAAAACATGTAGAGTTTCAAAGAATATGAATTCTTCCATGACGATCATTATTAAAAACAAGTCTTTTATTTTATTTTATTTTATTTTATTGAAAAATTATCTTGAGAACAAAAGTACAGGAAGTTTTCCAACTCGTTTCAACGACTTAATACTTCATATTTTTAATTCCAAAACTTTATATCTTAGTAGCTTGTCCTTGCGTTCAAATTAACTTTATCAAGAGTGTATACCACAATCAGGACATGGATTGGCTATATCTGATGGCTAATTGAGTAACTTTCATATTATCGAGTGTTAAACTAGGACATTCCTTGCTGTCCTAATCTCAAGAAAGATTAAAGATAATGTGAGAAAAAAAGTCTCTTATATGATATTCCAATAAATCATAAGGATATACCTTCTGAAACTGCTCATACAGAAGGTAATTGACGTAAAAATATTTCAATCTGCGTGTATTTCGTAATGTGGGAACATGTTTCACATATGCCGCTTATTGTGTTACTTCAATGACGTGGATTACGCAACTCTTATCTATTGAAAAACATGTTGAAGGTACAAACGTACATGAATGATGGCCAGGAGCGAAGGATGAACGATCTAGAAAGCAGGTGTCCGCTCGGACTGTATTAAATTCCTGTAGGTTACGCGTTGAGCTTAGCTCCTATCGAAGCAAAAGGCCATGCACACGCGTACGGCAAATTGCCTGTCAATTAGGCGCAAAGAAGTATCTAACGAATCTAAAAATCGGCTTTTATAGAAAGTAGACATAATAATAATAATAATAATAATAATAATAATAATAATAATAATAATAATAATAATAACAATAATAATAATAATATCACTATTATCACCTCTAAACAAATCAAGAAAATGTTTCAATCATGTTGAATTTTATTTTGGATAGTAAGATATTTAGTTTTGAATGATAATTTTCTGAAATACTGGGATCGCCTCTAATGAAGGAGGAATGGTTCCTACATTTCGTTTTATAATATAAGTAAATGGTGAAAATTCTTATTCAGGATGAGCTATCCAACTCCAAAGTAGTTGAACTGTTTTTGACATGATTTGAAACATGATTAGGTTGATGTGTCGTTTATGGAATATTATTGCTGCTTTCAGATCTTGATCACCAAATTGCGTTCTGCGTATTTCGCGGAGATGCAGCAATATTTGAAAGCGGCGAAGGCGCTGTTAGTGCTGTTTCCTCTCCTGGGTGGCTCCTACATCCTCACAATTCAGTTCCTGTCCAATGGGGCGGCTGGTGTTATCTTCCGCTACACCCGTGCTGTGCTCATATCCCTTCAGGTAAGCAAATTAGGACTAGAACGAATCATCACAAATAGAACGAATCATGCGTGTAAGAGTCAAATGTGCGTATAAAGTAATTTTTTTGTATTCCATCATTTTGAATTGTATTTTACAAGACATCGGCCACCGTTGTTTCGCACAGATATCAAATACGCTTGACTTCACAATCACGTTGTTTAAAAAATGAACGTTGGTTCTCTCATACTGTTATAAAAATAATATATACAACTCGTTTACACTGATAGTTTATTGTATACGTTATAGTTTGAAAACTCACGTAGCTTCTTTTCAAAACATGTACTCATGCAATACATCTACTAATTGCGTAAAATACGATTATATCTAGTACGAAAGTGAGCAAAAATTTATAAAAACTTACAAGTATATAATATTGGTACCATTGCCAATCAAAAAGGCAGCAGTTATGTTGATACCAGTCAATCAAATATTTTGTTCACTTTAAAGTACTCTATTGCTTTATAAAACCGTGATTTTTTTGCAGTATTTAAACGGATAAATATACGTCATACGCGTCCCGTAAAGTAAACTTTTCAATCGATATAAGTCAGCGCTAGTACTATTTTCCAAAAATGAGGGCTGTAAAATTAGTACTATAGGATTTTTGTAAAATATTCTATAATTTCAATTCGTGTAAAATTATGTGTTACATGAAAATAACGGTTAAATGATACCCAAATTATTTTTTTTTACAATTTCAAAAACGAAAAAATGGATTAAAATACTCTAAGGGAGGGGAGGGTGATGAGAGGGAGGAGCGAGAAGGATAAGAGAAAGGGATGAGAGAGGGTGATGAGGGAGAGGGAGGGATGAGGGAGAGAGCACCGGTTCACTTGACTAAACGCGCCGCAGGGGCTGGCGGTGGCGCTGTTCTACTGCTTCCTCAACGCCGAGGTGCAGAGCGCGGTGGCGCGGCGCGTGCGACGCTGGCGGGAGGCGCGCCGCGTGGCGGGCGACCGCCGTCTGCACAAGAAGCGGGGCTCCTGCTCCGCCTCCAGCCACAGCCGGGAGTCCGTGCTCATGATCCGGTCCGGGCTCATGTACGGCACGCACGACAACAAAAATGGCATGTAAGTCTCCATTGACGATATTTCTCTTATTTATTCGGATTTGACGTACTTCTTCTGACACACTAACACAAGAATATAATATAGTAGTGTGCAAATTAATGTGAACAACACGTAATTTTGAAATAATTTTAATTTCAGAGCTTGGCAACTCTGAGTTACCGTCAATTATTGCCTGAAAGCATTTCTCAACTGTTTATTTATCCTAGTTATATTGTTGTTTGTGTTTACCAATGTGTTATCGTTTCTGTGGAGTTTTAATCTTTATTTGTCAAACGCAAGCTATGGATCTCACTCCAAAGAAAATAAGATAGCTACATGATATAAACATACTAGAATGACACAAAGGAAAATTGCTAAAGAATGTGACGTGAGTTTAGTAGGTGTCAACAAAATTATTAAACAATTTAAAGAAACTGGTAATGTTTTACCTCAGCAAAGAGGAAAGTGTGTAAAAAACGGAAAACAACACACAGGGATGACTCACTTTTGTTCAGAAAATTAAAGAACGCCCCTATGCTGACAACTTTTGATCTATCAGGCTTAGCACGATCGGGTGTTCATATTCATGACTCTACTGTTCGACGTAGACTTTTGGAAGCTAGGCAAAGGGCTGTTTGCGAAGACGTGTTCACATTAATTTGCACACTACCGTATATGTCCTCACTGATGATATTTCTCATTTTTATTTCAACATTAGAAAAACGTACTTAAATGGAGAGCGTAGGCTTCCGTGGCCGAGCGTAGGCATTCATGGCAAAGGTGCCGAAATTTCAGTCACCATTCTGCGACCTTCCTGATTCTGATTATGCCCTGAGGAAGGTCGCAGAATGGCGACTGAAACGTCGGCACCTTTGCCATGGACGCGGCGTCACCCACACAGCCAATTAAATACTTAAAAGAAGTACAAACGTTTTAAACAATTTCTTAATTTGGCGATTAACCTTTTCTAGTAATATATTGCACACAAAGTAATATTAAATGCGCTCAAGGTAATATTCGACAAACATATATGTAGAAATGTGAAATATATTTTGTTAGATTCATCAATATTTTATTATTAATCATTATAAAATGTCTACGAAATGGCCACAAAAGAAATGCAAAGATAATCTGATGTTGTTTCAAACGCATACATTCTCTTGAAGTATTATATATCACAATATAGCAACTTATATGTCACAATTTTTTATTATCACTCATGTCATAACTTAAAAATCACAAACATTGTAGCTCAACCGTACGTCAAAAACTGCGAAAAGTGGACCATCTTCAGACATAGTAGGTATCCTCACGATCCGACTCAGAATCATGTATGGAACACTCAACAAAAACTTATACAAGTCCTCAATGACATAATTCTCAGTATTATTATATCTATTATAAAACATACTTGAAACAAAAGATAAAAATGTATAAAGAATTGCTTAATTTCGGGTTAAGCTTTTCTAGTAATAAAGCACGTAACACAATATTAATTGATCTGGGCTGTCCGAGTGACGCCGCGTCGATGGCTGAGGTGCCTACTCGTCAACGGCTGAGCTGATGCTTCGATGGCACCTCAGCCATCGACGTGGCGTCACCTGGACAGCCCAGATCATGACTCTGGCCGCAGAAGCCTACGACACTACATAATATTAATTACACACAAGGTAATATTGGACAAATATATTTTAGTTAATAGTTTTAGAAATGTGAAATGTTCTTGTTATATGTATCATTATTAGTCATTATTGTATTGATCGTGAAAAATGTTTACAAAATTGTAACTCAAGAAATAAATCCAAAACCCTCGCGTTGCTTCAGGAACGCATATTTTCTCTTAGTAACGGTTATGTTAAATCACAATATTTGAAGTTCTATCTTAACACGTCTTTACTTAACTAGTGATGATACAGAATGGTACAGGCTTTCCCGTATTAGCTTTCTATTTCCTATTGTTTCGGTTTGCTATTAATACTTACCATATTATCTTTCCAGCTGTCATCTATCGCCGCCCAAAATACATTTTTTTAATTTTTATTTTTTGGTATCTTAATAGTAGAGCGGAAATATTATTTTAAGAATTTTAAAGAATAGTAAAACCTATGGCAATTTTTCTTGAAAATTTTGGAGCCGTTTTAAAAAAATGGCATTTAATCGCTTATGTAAATTCGAAATTTGAAGCTCTTTTTCACATAATGTTTTTGAGTTTTCGAACAACAACATCATTAGAAGTCACAGTGGAAAAGTGACTGTTGATGTACCTGCGGATATCTCTGCTAAGAAATAAATTAGATTACATTATGAATAAAATATATATCGTTAGTAATATAGTTATAGAAGGGGATCTTAAATTTTTTTACTGCTGCAATTTTCTACACTTAACATGCTTTCCTAAGAAACCGAAACTGCGCAATTTTCATAAGATGAGCTTGCTCTATTTATGCAAAAATTAAATGAAAATAAATTAGGGTCAATTTCAAGAAAATTGAAAAATGTTCTCGCGAGTTCATGGGAAGTACCTCTAATAATGAAAAGTTGCCTTTGGAATTCGCAAGTCTTCGATTACGGCTGGATCGATCAGATTGCATTTACACCTGCTGTTTGTTATACCAATATCTGAGACCTTCGGTTTTACACTTAAATATATTTGATGCAGTATTGAAGGGAGTAGTTTCTTGGCCAGTAATTTTGTGTGGATGGTTTTTAAAAATGGCATGAACCCGTAATCTTTTCTTAGAAAATGTATCCATAGACAGCATCGCAACTTATATTATACTAATAATTTAGCTACTTGTTGAAACTCTTTCGTTTAACCAAACAACCTGCGGAATACCCGAAGAAGTGTACAAATCTTTAATTTGGAAAATTCTGAAGTTTCTAAGAAAGTGACACACATATCAGACTTTATTATACTCTGGGTTAACAATATTTTTTACCAAAGATTGGAGGAATTTTTCCAAATATCTTGGTAGGTATTTAGGTATATTTTTTTAAAAAATGTTAACATCAAGGAAAATATTGATTTTCAATGTTGTAATTGTACGATGGATTTACAAAATTGTGAACTTTGGAATTTTCCTTTCGGTAATTTCATTGAACTTTTTATCGTAAATCAGTGAGAAATTTTAATAATAAAGCATGTAATTTAAAGGGATAGTGACTCCAATCCTATTACGTGGCACCGCGTGAGTGAAAATTAGGGAATTAAAATTCTTGACCACGCAGCTACCTTTCCGGGGCTGTTGCTGCCATTAATCATCCCCAGCTATGCGGCTCGTCGCGAGCCCTGGACTGGTCCAGGACGGCTCAGCAGAGAAGCGCGCGGTTTTGCTGCTCGTCACCTGCTTCCAATGTCAGTCACCCAACACAGCACGACGGCAACAACGCCTGTAACTTTCGCGCTTAGTTAAACTACGTTCCACAACGCAGCCAACATAAGCAGGAAAGCGACTGCAGCTCGCTACATGGTAACCGAGCCGTCGACAAGCCGCCTTCAGCGCCCAGC